CTCTGATCACGTTAATAATAAATTATTTCATTCTTAGAATACACTTCAATTGAAAGTATTCAGCACTCAAAGGGTTAAAAATAATTAATAATAAAACAATAATAATATCACAAAAACGAGATCGAATGGGATAAATTCTTTGACAAAAAAAAATTAAAAAAAAAAAAGAAGAGAGTGGGGGAAAAAAATATAAAAATATTTTTCACACAAAGTAATAGTAATAGTAATAGTAATAGTAGTAGTATAATAAAAAAAATAGACACGCGTACGTCCGTAGGAAGTTCCATTCCGGTCGATTACGTTCCACAAGAGGATATTATATACATATACATATATATATATACATACATACATATATATATATATATAGGAACTATTAAGGGCGGTTCGCTTCTGCGGGTAACAGCTTCTCGAACATAATGGAAGAAGGATCCTTCTATTGAATAAACCCACGTCTGGGCGCGTGAGGTTTAACGTGGTATAATAGTACAACGTATTCTGTTGAGTAACAACGACAACAACAACCAACTAGAAGGAGAACTACTATGAGGACGACTTGAAGGAAAGTTTGCCAAAGACTGCTGTTCGGTTGAGTACAGGCAAGCAGACTGGTTGGTTGGTAGTAGTATAGTGTGACGTGTGAGATGGTAAAGGGGAGGTGGTAGTACCCATAGTATTGGTTATGGTTGTAGTAGTAAGATAGTAGTAGTAGTAGTAGTTGATGGTAGTGGTGGTGGTGGTAATAGTTGATGATGATGGTAGTTGTGTGGTTGTAGACCCCATGAGATACATGCTTACACACACGTATATACTGACACATACATTATCAGCCTACGTGATTCTTCTTTCTATGTCTTAGTGTCAGCAGGCCTCTTACGGTTGGTTCACTTTGTGCAAGGCGTCAGTGACTTCGCGTCCGCCGTTCCGATCGGATCTTCTCTTAAATTCTCAAGTACGCGAAAGCTTCTTCTTCATCTTCTTATTATTCTTATTCTTATTCTTCTATACCTTATTCACCTTCTTCTTTACCTTCTTATCCTTTTTATTATTTTTCTACTTCTTCATATCGTTCGTACATTCGTTCGTTAAGTATTACCTTTCAAAGGGTTTGAATAATATATCCATTAATAAAATAAATCGTGTATATATATATATTATATTATTTAATAATAATAATTATTATTATTCGAATGATTGTAAAGATGAACATTTCAGTATTTCTCGTATCAAGTGAAAATCAATCATCGTTTTATTTATCTCGTTGCTAATTTTTGTCTTTACCTTTTTTTTATATTTTTTTTTTTAATAAAATAATGGATAGGAGGTCACAATTTATTGAATTTAGTGAGATTTTCATTTAAACGCGATTAAAATAAATTATTGTTCTTGTTGTTATTTTTGTTTCTGTTACTTCGATCAATGTAAAAAAAAAATTACGAGAAATATCTAAGGGATTCTTAAGGGTTTCGCACCCCCCTGTCCTTCCCTGCCACCTCCCCCTGTCCTCCCCTTGCACTCCCAATGATCGCCTACGAGAGAAGAAGAACGCATAACGATAAAACTATAAGAAGAAGGAGAGAAGAAATAAAGGGGAAAGGGGGGGATATATATATATATATATATCTTACGTAGCACGTGAGAAAGTAGAGATGCACTTTATAGATGCGCCGGTAGATCGTTAAACGCGACGGGGATCGAACCGCGGGATATAATCGGCGTGGAAAATAAAGAAAATAGAAAAGAAAAGAAAATAAGAAAAGAAAAATTAAGATTAAAAAAAAGGAACGGGGGGAAATAGAAAAATAATTATCTTAATGCAATGGGAAAAGATATATTTAACTATAACGTTTATAAATGAAAAGAAATATATATATATATATATAAAAAGAAAATCGTAATATTTTATCTCGAATAAAATTGATCTCGATTGACATAAAAAAAAAAGAAGTGCATGATCACTCTACAAGAGTGTATCTTATTTCTTATGGGAATTTTTTTTTAAATAAATCAACGTGAGAAAAGGATTATTCATAACGTGACAAATCTGACGAATTTTGGAATATTTTTTATTGAAAAAAAAAAAAAAAACTATTAACCCTCGAATAAAGAGAAGGGTGTGGGAAATAATTACAAATGTTTCTCACGTATAAGGTCAAGTGTTTATGATTATAATAAATATAATTAAATGTTACTTTAGATAGTATATTAAAAAAAAAAATTGTAAAAAAACCGTGGATCACACTAATAGAGAAAGAGAGTCGTGTGTGTGTCTGTTATTTCTTATGGAATTTCGAATAAAACCAAGAAGAATAGTATCTGGAACGTGCTAAATCGAATAACACCAATCTGTTACGTACCACGAATACTAAATCATAAAACCTAGATTTCACTGAGCACTGTTGCATACTTGGCAACAGTTTGGCGTGAAGTGAACGAATGCAGTTTTTTTTCTTTTCCTAATCCTATAATAATCTACAATCGAAGAGAAAAATTAATATGAATTGACTACTATATATATATATATATATATTATATATTATATATAATATAAAAAAAAAATATATAGAAAAGGAAAAAAAAAACAAAAAAAAAAAAGGGTGGTAGGGGAAAAGGTTGCAGCACACGTTGGAAAGTGACAGTGAATGGGCAGAGTAAGAAGAGGCCGAGTGACATAATCGAAGAAAGTACCAGAGAAATAGAAAGAGAGAGAGAGAGAAAGGTGTATAGTGAGAGAAAGAGAGAAAGAAAGAGAGAGAAAACCGAACCTGTTATTAACCGGTAAACGCGCAACCGCGCTCCTGTCAAGGTGGTGGTAATGAACCGGCGTGAAGGTGCTGAGATTCGAAATGGTTTTAAAGACAGGGAACGTTACGGTCATACGACCAATAAGAAAATCATCAAATGACGAATCGCCCGAGAGATCGGGCACGATGATTATCATCTTCTTCCATCATCATCCTCGTGTATTTCTTTGCCAATTCTTTTGTTGCGATCATTTTCGAGTATATCGATTTTTCTGTCGATAGAAAAATACAAAAAGGAAAAGAAGAAGAAGAAGAAGAGGAAGAGGAAGTGGAGGTTGGAGGAAATAGTTGTGGGAAGAAGAAAAATTTTGTTCGGAAAGGGATAATAAAAGATAAAAGAAAACCACGAGGGAAAACCATTTATCTTTTTGTTTTTTTTTTTTTTTTTCCCCCCATCAACGATAATAAGGGGGAAGGCTTTAAAAAAAAATATATCAGAGAATAGATAAAAGAATATATATGTATATATATAAAAAAAGTATGTCGTCGAACGGTGAGTTCTCGACAATGTCAAGCGAGGAAATGCCCTCGTTACCGAAAAGTTTGCCAAGTTCACGCGAGGCGACGGCCGAGGGTAGTTCTGGTTCGAGTGGTGGTGGCTGTGGTGGTGGTAGTGGTCTTGCTGGTGGTGGTGGTGGTTATATGCCACTTCGAGAATTTTTAGATAGATTCTCATTGCCGAGGGTTGTTAGACTCGAAAATACCAGCGGCAGGCCTGTATTACTTTACAAACAACAACAAAAATCACTTCGAGTAACTGCAACATTGTTGATACATCGATACCGACACGATGTCAAAGTTGGACCAGAAATTGTCATACCTGAGGGTTATCCAGGTTAGTTTTTATATATTATATAATATATATATATATAGATTAATTAATTGTTTATATCACGTACAAAACGTATGTTTTATTTGAATACATATAAATTAATCTGAATACATAAAAATTAATCTGAATATTTGAAATCAAATATGTGCTGAATAATTGTCCTAATAAATGGGGACGAAATTTCCTGATGTTCTGAATTTTTCTTTTTTTTTTCTTTAACCTCTTGTCCAACTTCCTAACTTAATTATTTATTTTTATTGTCAAGAAAAATTCTAATCGAATTCGTTTATTTGAAATATTATCTAAATCCTCCAAATTGATTTATTTATTCGTACATTGTTTTATTCAAACTATTATCACAGTTAACAACGAACAATTGTTTAATTAACGGAATGATTTTATTATTATTAATGTTGAATTATATTCGATTAGCAATTATAAGTGATTGCGAATTATTCTTTTAAATTACTGATAACATTCAAAAGGTTTACTTTCAATACATAAACTGTTGATTTAATTCAACAACAAAATATATTTTTAATTGATTTAGAATTTTTGTTTAGAAAAACGAATCAAATAAACGTGTTAAATTGATAATCTCGTCTTTCCTTGGATCCAATTGATCGAAACCAGGCAAATTGTGTAACAACAATGTGCTATGGTGTGACCACCTTAGCTTGCTTGCTTGCTTGCTTGCTGGCTGGCTGGCAAGCTTTACAACTCGATCATAAATTCGTACTTGCTACGTGGCACACGTAACCCAGGCTCATGTGTGTATAATATATTTTATATGTAATAGGTATATAGTATTATACCTATACCTAGATCGTAGCAGAGTAGTAACAGTAAATCGCAGTAAGGAAACGTTATTTAACGCCCACGAATTTGCGGACACGCGGATGGAAAGGGAGGAGGAGGGTGGGGGGAGGGACGGAGGGAGGGAGAGCATTATTCACGATGAATCCAGGACACAAAGAGAAATCATTTTTCTTTTTTTTTTTTTTTTTTTTTATCTTTACCATGTGTGCTACCCACGTATCCAATGTTATACATAAGTGTATATTATGCATTTATAGTAAACTTTATTAGAACTGTAATACTCGTTAAGTTCATCCCCCCCCCCCCAAAAAAAATATATAACTATAATATTTTTGTTATTATTAATCATAATATATTCACTACCCCTATCCTAACAATTAAATGTGATCAATATTATACAGAAAAATATATTTGTTTTCTTATCTCGACAAGTATGGGTCTGAAATAATCATATATTTTAATTATGTTCACTGATATGATGCAATTATACACACGTTTGTATGAAATGACGCGTTTTTAGTGTCGTTAAAAAAGAAACAAAGTTTCGTCAGCAAATCTTAACGTATCTAAATTACTCATACGTATTAATGAATCACGTTGTGTAGTAATATTACGAAATAATCTTGTCTTCGTTTATTCATTTAACTCTTCTTTGCATGATTTTTTCTTTTTTTTTTTTTTAAATAAATCAGGGTGATGTAATTAATGCTCTAGATTAAAGGAAAAATATTTCGAAAAAATCCTAGTGCTATTTTTTGACAAGTGCGTTTTGTTGTACGCAATAGTCGCTTAAAAAGTTGCCAGCAACAACAAATATACAGTACAAGGGTTTTGAGTATCTTTTTCTGTTGATTAAATATTATGATTGAAATTTCCATCATCATGCAAAGAAGGGTTAAAATCATTGATTTTGATTAAAAAAAAACAAAAAAAAAACAAGACAATTTATTGTCTCACTTTTGTTATATTTCAATCAAAATTGAAACTTCTTCTTCTTCTTCTTTTTTTTAATATTTATTGAGAATAAATAAAGTTTATAGTTAGGTTGTTTGTAAAAAAAAAAAAAAAACGATTCGAATTGAACGATGGAAAAGATCAAGAGTGCAAATTCTCAGGTGGTCTAACGTAAACGGAACGCACGGCCGTCTTTCGAAGTCCAGTTGCGTTCCGAATGCGGGATTTCTGACTAAACCCGATTTAACAACAACAACTAACGACCAGTTTCCCTTCTGTGCGTCATCGTTGGAATTTAAACGCGTGTGTCCAATCGCACGCAAGCTTTCATTTCGACTTAGCACGGTTTCTTCAAACTTTCGTCACGACGGATAATTCGATTAAAGTTTGACGCGCGCGCGCGCGCGCGCGTGCGTTTCATTTCCGATTAGTTTTGCCCATTAGGTTGAAGAGAGAGAGAGAGAGAGAGAGAGAGAGAGAGAGAGAGAGAGAGAGAGAGAGAGAGAGAGA